TATACATGTCTTGTCTTTCGTTGTATCTTTATTCGACGGTTACCGTCTGTTTAACTGAAATACATATATTAACAAATCCCTATACTAAGAAAGCCCAGAAGGCTCATTCGAGATTCGAGATTCGAAATACGAGATTCGAAATTCAAGATTCGAAATTCGAGTTACGAGATTCAAGATCCAAATTAACCAATCAAAAGGCAGGTTCAACTTTGATTACTCCCCTGTATCATGTTTTACTATCAAGAAATCATTGAATATATTCATATCAAATGAGTCATTTGCTTAAATGATAATGCAAGAAAAAAGATATATGTAATAAAACGAAATAAAAAGGAATTTTCGGTTACATTTTAGAAAATATATATAAATTCTTCAAACAATAGATACGTATATAGAATATTATATGGTCTTATCGTTGAATTGTGCAATTCTTAAATCGGCATTTTTTTCTAATAAGAACATTGATGAGGGAGAAAATTATTACTTATATAAAAAATACAATGAGGGTACAATTCTTTACATTGTGCCCCCCCCCCCCATAATTTTATAATTTTGCCGATATATAAAATACTATAGAAATCATAACTTCTATATGCTTGTGCCCCCTCAATTTTGTGCCCCCTCAATAAAACATCTGATTACTTTTTTTGCTTTGTTTTTTGGTTGTCAGGAAATTTTTGGTAGTTGAAAACTGTATGGCTGTGCCCCCCCCCCCCCCCCCCCCCATGAAATGAGCATTATGGTTTTACTAGTACATTTGAGTCTTTGACAAAGTCGGGCGAGACCCGACAAGTTTCCTTTTCAATAAATATCGAATATATATTTATTGTATCCATGCATCGCAAGTTTGACAATGAATGTTAATAACAACACATTTGTCCTCCCCCCCCCTCCCCCCCGTTCCCGTTATATTTTTCCGATTTAATATACTATAGAAAACAGTAACTTTATGCTTATGTTCATTCAAAAATAACTTCCAATTACCATGAAAACCCCTATTTTTCGAGGTTGGGGTGGGGATAGGTTGATTAACAATGATTTTTTAAAAATTTATTATTCCCAATGGGTCATTATCTTTATAAAGCATGCATGTTTCAGCCATCCGTACTCAAGGGGCTGTTTATTGGTTTCATAAACTTGGTCACTGGCCACCTTCTAATACCGTGTCACAAACACCATCCACCTTTAAACCCGTAGTACTAATTATTACAAAGACGAAGCATCGATTTTGAAAGTGGGGTGGGAGAGAGGGGCGGACAAAAATATTATTTCAGACCTGAAAATAAAAACTGACAGAAAAAAATTGTCCAAACCCGAAAATCCTTTTTCGGGGCGTGAAAGGGGTTGGGGGGGGGGGGGATCGAACTTCATATACGAGGGTTGTCCCGTAAAATCGTGGACAAAGCGTTTTTCTCGAAAAGTAATGGGCGCACTAAGCTGAAAATTGCAGTAAATGTTTATTTATCATATCTAAGTGCATGATAATTTTTTTGATAGGATATAGGCAAAAATAATGATTTTATTACGCTTGAATGTGCACGGGGTATTGTCCTACGGCACACAGACAAAAAACCAAGGTTTTATTAAAGAATACACAATTTTTAATTCAAAATAAAAGTTTTAAATACATAAGATTTGGTTTAAAATTATCCTAATTCAATTCCACAATCAATTTTGAAGTCTTTGTAAAAATTTTAAGGCATTTGGTTAATTTTTGGCAGTTTCTTGAGCATTCGAAATGGGAAAGTGGTAAACACAACACACGAAAAATGGCGACGTTTTATGACGTAACGGCGCACCGGAGAGTAGTTCCGTTTTCATTCAATGTTGTAATGACACCTTTAGAGACTTGAAATGACCATAGAAGAAAAAGATTATAAAAATATCACCATATCTTAAGTATACAAATGAAATAGAAGTTTTCTTAGCGAAGTCTTTTTTGATCGAGTCCCTGGAGAGTACAAAACATACGGACAAACTCCTAATGTAATAACAAAAGACGCTGTCACAGTAGACCGCCGATATGAAATTTTCTATTAGTTGAATGATGGTGAGAATATTGTCCGTAACTTACTGATATATCTTCAGAAGATCGCATGAGGGTGCCAATTGGTTCTTCGACTGTTTATGGAGACTAAAGAATGTGTATCAATGAAATTCCTAAATTTAAGTCGGACTCATCATCCAACTTCATTTTCAGCAAAGATAAAACGAGACGCTGTTTTAGACACTTTGACGTTATAATCCATGCGCCGTAAGGTGATACAATATATGGCATAAAATCAGATAATTTGTTTATTTATGCATATATTTATCTGAAATTTGCTGTGTATATTACTAAAATATGTACTAAATAATAGTGAAAATTTCAGGACGCATTGATGTTTATTTTTTACACTAGACAACTTGTCCACGATTTTACGGGACAACCCTCGTAGTACCTAATTTCTTTAAATACACTACTACTTAAACTTCTTTGACTATACTGCACCACTGTACCAAAATCTAGGGGGGTTGGGGCTTGGCAACCGACCTTTCGATGAAGATTTACTATGGTAAAAAAATTATGTTTGGAGAAAGGGGGGGGGGGTGTATGTACTGTAAATCTAAGTTTACTATGATGTCAACAACCCTGTATCCAAAGTAGATAACACGAAACATATATATTCTTTAAATAAATCGCTTATGACATTTAAGAAGCTATTATAAATTAATTAAGCATATACGAGAAAAGAGTAGCCCAGTTTTATGTGGATTCACAACTTTAAATTTGAGAATGTACAGTTGTTTTTATTACGAAACATGTCATGTGCGAAAAGCATTATCGTGAAATATACTCTGTCTCGGATACTTTTTTATGTGTATGTGATTTCCAGGATAGAATATGTGCAACTTATGCTGTCAAGAAATATGATGTTTTTTTTATCTTATGTTTGTAAAAAAATATTTTGTATTGTAATAAACATAGTAAAAGTCAACACGTTGTTACTTTGTATATTTAGTATGATTTCCAAACTTCTTCAGTTTGATTTGGAAGAAAAAGCTTATTTATTATAGGCATAAGGCTTTATTCACTTGAATGGAAAAAGTAATTAACTTTTGTGATTATTAAAGATGGTATTTAAATATAAGATCTGTAATTATCAGATTTAATGTATCCTAAATACTGTGTTTAATGGTTGTAAATATTGACTTTACTTTTTTGTAAAGTCAAGACAACCTAAGAAGAATATTCTGTCCTTCCAAAATAACGAAATCTACAAAATCCGTGACAAAGTGTAAAGATCCGCGATGTTCGCTGAGTTTGATCTTACGGTACTCAGGAACTTAAATATGCTGTTTATGCACACGAATTCTGGCTTTCAATGTGGTCCCCGTTTCACCGATGTAGAATTGGTTGGCTCCTCCGCAAGTAATAACATATATTAAATTTTTGGACTCACATGTCATGTCTGAATTAATAAAGAAATCTTTTCCTCTGAAATTAAATGACGATCTTTCTCTTAAAACAGAACATGTGCCACATCGCGGATCTTTACACTTTGTAACGAATTTTGTAGATTTCGTTAATTTGAAAGGACAGAGTATTCTTCTGAGGTTTTTTGGGCTGCCATTTGCTGTTTATAAACTTGAATTAAAAAAAAAAACATTTGACATTTCTTCATCCGTTTTGAGAATTTTGTTCAGATTTCGAACGATAGGTTTAATATTTTGGTTTTTAGGATTGTAAGTTGTATATATATATATATATATATATATATATATATATATATATATATATATATATATATATATATATATATATATATATATATATATATATATAATACAAAAATTGTCAATTACGACTGAATTTCCTCGGGCGAACAGGACACATTTAATTCTTGATAAAAACATTGAGCGCAATTGCTCAAGATAGATTTTTTTAATGTCAGTTCTTATGTGCGATAGCTATCTGACTTTCTATTATGAATCCTGATCAAGCATGTGCTCATATTTAACATAATGAAAAATCATCGACAATTGCACTGAATTTTGAAAATTTCCCCAAACATTGCTTCTTCTGAGACTGTATTCTACTATATGACGACCCATAAAAAGTAAAAAAATAAATCCTAGATATAGTCAGATTGGATTGTATTTTATTCAGTGATGTACAAAAATAGCATGTATGATTGACTTCAAATTTTGAGAAATCGGAAGGCAGAAAAATGCAATAGTGCACATAGCTCTTAGGTTCCGCCCCTTTCTGTAGCCTTAACTATGCTGTAATTTCAAAAAAATGTAGTAAAATTAATATAAAACGCGGAAAAATCAAGCTTTGCAACTCAACAAATGTTCCATATATATATATTGAAAATGAAAACAACAGAGATTTAAAATGTAATTTGATACACATCCATTTGAAAGACCTTTTATCATATAAAATATAACAATATGTTTTCACTGTTGGCTCATTGCTTTTAGAAAATAAACAAAGTAAAATGTTTGATATATAATATAACACTCATACGTTTTCATTGTTGTATCATTGCTTAAAAAACTAAACAATGTAAAAATATTTGTTTGAATGAAAATGGTTAATTGAATGCATAATTGGATTTATTAATTAAGCTTTGACCCGTTTTATAAAGGAAGAAAAATCATTTTAATAAGAACAATTCATCTTAAATTCATGGCATTTTAACCCCGTCCGGTTATACTATCGACGAGCTTTACATGTAATATATGCGAATTGTACTAAAATGTTAAGTTCAAACAATGAAAATAAATCTAAGCTGATCTGGAGTTTCATAATAATATCTTTGTATACAATTATTATATATTGAATTATTCATGTTGACAAACATGCCATTATTCACGATCTTTTTGGACAACACTCGTATCTTCAATATGTTCTTCAGACAGAGTATCGCCTCACATATTTCTTTATTTCTCTGAACATTCTTTTATGTACTGGGATATTCATAATGTCGGACCAACAGCAGCTACTTCGAGATTCACACAAGTGTCTTCTCGTCCTCTAGAGCAGACATACTTCCGTTATCTTTTCTGTCAAATATCCATTCAGACTCATCATCCGCCAAAGATTGATACTCTTTGTACAACACCCTGATATTGATATTCACACCAGCCTCCAGGAGTATACTCCACTTCTCTACTCTGTCGACGACTCTATTTTCATCAATTAGTGCGAAAAGCAGAGGTTTCAAGTAATGCATCCCTTTGTAGTGCAAACATATCCATTGATTAACATCTAGACTAAGACTTAAAAGATATTTCAGTACATTACAGTTTCCATATATAACCGTCTGATAAAATTCATCCTTCATTTTCATATGCCACACTCTTCTCTGTGTCATGAACATATCATCCTTGCTAGTTTGCACGTAAGCATATATAGAGTTGACTGAACAGTCATAAAAAGGTAATTCTAAGCTACACAAATGACACATGTCGATCTTGAGAAATATCTGTTCTACAACATCAAGTTTGTACCAATCATGCTGAATATATACTGAAGACAAAAAAGCTTTATCACACTTCTTTGAATGTGCGTTATCATTGCTGAACATAAGCTGAGCAGATAAAACCTTCATGGCGTTTTTGAAATCTGCTTTATAAAGACTCCCCTTTTCTTTCTCCCTATGTCCATCGATATTAGCTCCTGCTTCTAACAAAACCTTCGTCATTTTTACATCTACCATATAAACGTATTCTCCCAGTAGCGTATATTCAGAATCTTTTAGATTGACATTATGTATGAGTTCCTTCACAATAACAGAAAGTCCTAAAGTACATGCTATTTTCAGCGGTGTATAAAATTCACATTGCAAATTTGCATCAGCACCCGCTTGTAGCAGATTCATTACTACACTTACAGCTCCACACTTGCATGCTGCTGTTAGGGGTGTATCTGATTCTCCTTGAAAATTAACGTCAGCACCTGCCTTAAGTAATTCTTTTATAACACCGATATATCCATGTTTACATGCTTTTATCAGTGGTGTTTCTTTTTCATATTGCAAATTGACATCTGCTCCCACCTCTAGCAGTTTCTCCACCACACTTATAATTCCAACCTCGCATGCTGCTGTTAGTGGCGGTTTATCTGTACCCTGTAAATTGACATTTGCCCCCGCCTTAAGTAGTTCCGTTACTACCCTAACATCTCCAAGTTCGCATGCTGCCGTGAGGGGTGTGTTATCTCCACCCTCTGGATTGACAATTGCCCCCGCTTTTAGCAGTTCTTTCACCACACTTATATCTCCAACTTCGCATGCTGCCGTAAGTGGTGTCTTTCCTCCATCACGTGGATTGACATTCGCCCCCGCTTCTATCAGTTTCATAATTACACGCATATCTCCTTTCTTACATGCTGCCGCAAGTGGTGATTTTACTCCATCCTGTGGATTGACATTCGCCCCCGCCTCTAGCAGCTCCTTAACCACACTTATAAATCCTGTCTCGCATGCTGCCGTGAGTGGGGATTTATTTCTACCCTGAGGGTTGACATTTGCCCCAGCCTCTAGCAGTTTCTTCACCACACTTACATCTCCAACTTCACATGCCGCCGTAAGTGGTGCCTTTCCTCCATCACGTGGATTGACATCTGCCCCCGCTTCTAGCAGTTTCAAAACTACACGCATATCTCCTTTTTTACATGCTGCCGCAAGTGGTGATTTTTCTCCATCCTGTGGATTGACATTCGCCCCCGCCTCTAGCAGTTCTATCACTAAACGAATATCCCCTCCATCACAAGCTACAGAGAGTGGTGATTCCCCTCCATCATGTGGATTGACATTCGCCCCTGCCTCAAGCAACTCCTTCACTAAAAGTATATCTCCTTTTATACATGCTGCTGCCAATGGTGTATGAAGGAAATCCCCCATATTGACATCGGCCCCCGCCTTTATCAAATCCTTTACTAAACTTAGATGTCCAAACATGCATGCACGCGTCAATGGTGATGTAAGAAAGTGATTTGTTTTATTAATTTCAGCCCCCGCCTCAAGCAGAATCTTTACTACATCTATAGATCCAAGCAGACACGCTTCTGTCAGTGGTGTTTCTATTCCTACATAATTGACATCAGCTCCTGCCTGTAAAAGCAATGTCACAATTTTTTTCATTTTTATGTGAACATGCTTCTATCAGAGGTGACGTTGGCATATCTCGTGGATTAACATCAGCTCCCTCCTCTAACTGTTGTTTAACTGCATTTATATTCCCGCCAGTGCATGCTGCTATCAGTGGTGTCTCATAATTACCCTCTAAATTTAGGTTTGCTCCAGAAAGTTTTAACTCCTTAACTACATCCATATGTCCATGATTATATGCTTCTGTCATAGGAGTAGAATATAAACCTTTTAGATTGACATAAGCTCCCGCCTTAACAAGTTTCTTCACTATATCAACACGCCCTGTTCCACATGCTGCTATGAGTGGTGTATCTAATAAACATTGCTGATTTACAGCAGCCTTCACTCTTAGTAACTCGTTAACTATACACATATGTTTATTCCTACATGCTTTTATTAGTGGTGTTGCGAATTTGCCTCTTAGATTGACATCTGCACCTACCTCTAACAATACTTTGACTACAGAGTCATGTCCATCCTCACAAGCTGCTGTCAATGGAGTATCTTGTCTATCATGAAGATTAACATCAGCCCCTTTTTCTATCAAATGCTTTACTACATTTATACGTCCATGTTTACAAGCTGCTGTCAATGGAGTATTTTTCCAGCCTTGAATATTGACATCAGCCCCTGTTTCTAACAACTGTTTTACTACTTTTACGTGTCCATGTTTGCATGCTGCTTCCAATGGTGTTTCACGTGTTCCTTGTAGATTGACGTCAGCACCCACTTCTAACAATTCCTGAACAATATTCATATGACCATCCTCACATGCTGCAAGAAGCGGCGTGTCATACGCTACCCGAAATTGGCCGAAAGATCTTAACTCCTTATTTATCTCATTTTTATGAAAATATTTCACACATAAACTAAAAGTCTCTAAATCACCACTGTAACAACTGAGCAGAAGTAGGCGACATTTTTCAGAACTATACGGATCAATGATCTGTTTGGGCTTTCTTGATTTAATGATCAAATTCAAGGGATTTAATTTATCCGTCATTTGCTGCAATATCTTTTTCATTTTGCTTTGCTTTTTTGCAGAGCTTAAACCAGGTTTGCAATTATTCCAGAAAAGTTCAGACTGTATTTCGTTCTGTAGTTCAAGTTGTGTAAGGATGTACTTTAAAATCTGACTGTGTCCACAGTAAATCACCCAACTGATAATCCTTACACTGTAAGTTGATATACGTAGTGATATCGTTCTTTCGTTTACCAAAAATTGTTGTCTATAACTCTTTCTGCCATACGCATTTTTTCCTGTACTCACTACCTTAGACACATCTTTCTGTTCTGACAAAAATAAAACTTTCAACTCTGTGTAAGGCTTGGTCATTAACAAATCAAGAAAAGCATGACACACCTTAGGCTCTTTTAATACGTCATTCATGAAAACATCATAAAGATCCATATTTTTAATATCTCTGTAAAAACGTTCTGCTAGCATTGAATATTGATCCTCTGTTAGTGTAATGCAAAGATCTAATGACTCATTGTTTTTGTTTTCACAGCCTAAAACTTCCGTCTTTTCCTTTTGCTTATTGCCATCACTGTTTGCAACTTTGACACTATCTTGTTGTGTTTCGTTTTCTAACTGCTGTTTTTGACATTTGTGAATTTTTACCCTTTTTGCAACGAAACTGCTGTCGATATATTGCAAAATGAGATCTGGAAACTGGCAACCAAATGATATGCTATCACATCAAACATGAAGTCATGCACAAAGGTATACTCAGTCGCACAGAGTTTTGTGTATGTGTCCTCCATTATTGACAAAGCATCGATGAATTTGAACGCATCCGTGTAACTCTCAACTTTACAACATTCCAGTACTTTTGATTTCATTTCACAAAAGAACTCGTTATCTGTGTTTTTCAGCAATGTTTTTGATAATTTATTGTTATTCAACATGCACAAGACCAACGCAGCATAGAATAATCTATTTTGTTGTTGCATTTTGTCAAATTCCCTTAAGATGTATTCAACTGGGCAGGTGAAGAATCTTTCAACATTGATTTTTGATTTATCTTTTTTTGAGTATAATTTACAAATCAGGGGAAACATTCCCGATTTATTCTTCAGCAGCGAAGGAGACAATAGATCCATATCTAAGCCATGCTTCTTTAGAATATTTTTTTTTGTCAACATCATTCAGAGCATTTTCTGGTGTGTTCAATTTAATAACATTTTCCTCATTTTTGAAAAATGAAAAATAGCATTCGTTAAACACAACTTCCCTACTTGACATCAATACTTTTGTTTTTTTATTGGAGGGATTTGATATTATTTCTGCATAGTCTATCAAAGACTCTAATTTTTGTTTTCGAAGACGTATCACCCCTACCACGTCATCAACGACAAACACCTGTGCATTGCTAGGATCACAATAATCTTCAATCTTCTTAATGTCTATGATTGGAACAATCTCATAGCCTTTGCTTTGTAGAATAAAGGCTATATGATGAATTGTAGCTGATTTTCCCGAACCTGGGACACCCACAAAAGTCATATAGTGCTGCTCTCTGACTTTATCCAGCATTTCTTGGAAGTTGTGAGTCTCAAAGTAAACGACATCTTCTTCTCTCCAACGTTGAATGAATTCTTTTTCATGAAGGTCTAAAGAAAAGCAATATTTTTTTTAATTTAGTATTTTATCAAATGTGAATGATTGTAGTGATTTTAACACACTATTGACTTAACTGACTTTTGCAGAGGTCTAATACGAGGGGCGTTCAATATGTTTTGTCCAAACCATATTACAGCAACAAAAACGAAATAGAAATTAAAATCATTTATTGCATTCCCTCAAAGTAATCTCCCTTGTATTTAATACAGAGATGAACTCTTTTAATCCAGTCAAAAACACTTTTTTGTAAGTTTTTTGTGGTATACCCCATAAATGCTGAAAAATAAATGATCCCAGCCCTGACCGCGTTGAAAACGTCTTCCAGAGAGAGCTTCGTTTAGTTTTGGAAACAAGAAAAAGTCACAAGGAGAAAGATCAGGTGAATATGCAGGATGCGGAAATTCGACAACTTTGTGACGCTGTAAATAGTCTCGGGAAACCTTTGCTTTATGTGCAGGAGCATTGTCATGCAGAAGTTTAATGCCTCTCAAACCGGTATTAGGTCGTCTTTTTTTTGTAAAAATTATAAAGTCTCGGAAGTATACGTGAGGAATACATATTTCCAGTGACACTTTTGCCCTGTGGGACTGCATATTGAACTACCAAGCCATTTGAGTCGAAAAATATTGCGTTCAGAGCTTTCTTAGAAGTTTGAGTACTTTTTGCAATTGTTGGCCTCTTCAAATTCTTTCCAATCCAATCTGATTTTTCACTTTTCTTTCTGGCTGGAAATAATGGACCCATGTTTTATCACCTGTGACAATCTGACTTAGCATCTTAGTGTCCATACTTTAAAACATTTCAAAAAGTTTTTGGCACTTTTGTAAACGATCCCTCATCTCAGCTTTGGTAAGAATATGTGGAATCCATCTCTGAGTTTCAGAGTTGTTTACGTCAACGGCAGTACTGTTATTTACGCAAGTGTCTGTGGTAAAACTGCTGGTCTGGGTCTCATTGTTATCTACATCAATACCGGTGTTTACACAAATGCTAGAAAAAACTGCTGGTCCCTTTTTTGAAGCGACCTTTCTTGTTTCTTGCTCTAGAGGGATTTCCCTCCATTGTTGATTGTTTACTAGTTACATCGTTAATATACTTTCCTTCTTTCACAAAAGATTTCCAAAAATTATAAATACCGGATTTTATGGTACGAATAAACTATTTCCGAATATGAGTACGAGTTATCTCGCCTTGCTGAGGATCGGAAATCGTTAAAATAGTAAAAACACTGCCAGTTGAAATTCCTACACGTTTTGCTTTATCTTTGACGGTAAGTCGTGCATCTGTCTTACAATTATCACGGATTTTGTAAACGTTACTTTCGGTGACTGCTCTTGGTGGTCTTCCAGAATGTTTGTCGTCGGAAACACGTGTTTTACCACTCTTAAACTTGCTAACCCATCTGTAAACTGTCTTTTTGAAATAACAGACTCACCACATATCCGAACAATTTCTTCATATATTTCATTTCGTTCTATACCAATGGCACAACGAGCAAGAATATACCTTCTTATTTCAAGTGACTCAAGACTTTGTGTTTTACCCGTAATTGATGTTCAGTGTACATTCAGGTAGGTCAGTTGCAAACGTAAGTGTGTGTTTCACAGTGCAAAGACTTGTTCCAAATTCTGCCAATATGTCAATAAATGATATATTCATTCATGGATGACCAGATCCCGAATCGACTGATCTAATTTATATTGAAAACCATAAGGAACAAAAAATATTGAACGCCGCTCGTATGTCTTTCCCTGCTGCCAAATCATAATGAATTTTCGTACATAAATTGAAATGAACAAGAAAATATCCCTTGAAAAGAGTTTTAGGATTTAAAAAAAATGTTCAAGGAATTCGGCTGATATAATGTCATCTCTGCACGGATATATTAATTACAAAATATTTGTGATAATTCAAATTCAATTTTGAATTATGTTTTTTTCTATCTAAGACAAATGTAAGATAAATTTATTATGTTATGTGTAAAATGGTCAAATCAAATGCATTGGATTTTTAAATGTAAAAAAGCACAGGCCAATTACAGTTTTCATAAATTCTAAGGCAACGTTAATTAAAAGAACAAAATACATATTTGGATATGAGAGGCCTCATTAATTGAACGAAAATTAACTTTGGTGCGCAAATGTAAAATGTGAAAGTAGTTGTCGACAAAACATCCGTACGTCCAAAGTATCTGCGATGTTATACATACCCCTAACATTTGGAGGGATGACTCGTTGTAGTATTTTTATTTCATCTGAAAGAAATCCAGAAAAAAAATGTTTTTAAATTATAAATAATTGATGAATGGTCACAATTTAAGTTGAAACACGTTATTTGATTGAATCAAATATTTCATCTATACCATATAGCCTTACGCCGCAATGAATTACGTCAAAAACGTATTACTTCTGTTGACGTTACTTTTAAAACATTTTAAATTTAAAGCCATCATTGGTATAAAAAGTGTCATATTACCAAAAATTTAGATGTAAGCAATGAAGCTTATTTTAGATTATACGACATAATATGAATCGGAGAAGTTTACGCTTTTTTATGGATCGCAAAGGGTAAAATAAGCTTTATTCCTTCGTTGTAATGTAAGGCCTGTAAAGTATAGCACTAATTCAAGGAACTTCTTATGACTTTGTCTAAAATATTCAATTTCTATTAGATAAAATGTGATTCATTTTTGGTATGATTTATTCCTAATAGAAAAAAAGTTTTTTTCTTATTACATATTTTGTGATTTCTATTCTATAAATTGTTATCTCTTTTAGAAAAAAAAAATAATAAGATTCTTATTCCATAACATATCAATCATTTAAAAAGAAATTAGATCTTTTTGTACCATTTGTTTTACTCATAACATATAATTTAAACACAACTTTAACCTTATTAACAATTATTTGATAATACTGCAACCGAGGGTGGAAGGGGGGGGGGGGGGTCAACAGGACTTCCAATGAACAACTCGTATATAAAAGAAATCTGTGAAAAAAATGCCCCTCCAACCGATGCTAGATGCCTGTGGACTACAATTCTTCTGCGAAAGTAAAAATTCAATACATCGTACTATAATAAATTATTTAATGGTGTCTCTCTTTGGTTATTCATCAAAAATCATTAAAGAAGTATAGATGAAATATACAAAGCACCTCTAATGTCCTTGCATCAGAAATCAACCCATATTTCATATAGGCGTCAGAAGTGGGGGCAGGGGCTAATTGAAAATGGGGTTAAACCAACAGAAAAAGGTAAGCCCCAATGTTAAATGGTTATATTATATGAGCCGTTCCAAGCAACCCCCCCCCTTATGTCCAAATGTTTCGAAAATGACTTTTTTCTTGAAAAATGATATAGAACCTTAGGTGGATATAAACAGTAAATATTAGGATGTATCTTGCTCCGTTACGGATTTACAGGTATTTAACGTATGCATCATTTAAATACGGCTGCCGTATTTGATAAATGTTCTCTTACTTGTAGTGACGCCGGTGTAAAGACAAATAATGACCCCCATCGAATAATGACCGGGGGTCATTTATCGACAGCAAAAAATGACCCCCGGTCATTATTCGACGTAGAAAAATGACCCTTTTGCCCGTAGAAAAAGTGTCACCACCCTAAAAATTTGCAGAACCCACGTGAAGAAAAATGACCCCCGTAGAAAAATAACCCCCTGTAGATTAAAGCTAAAATTTTTAGGGGGCAACGAAAAAAAAAGATAAAGAAGCATATTGACCAAAATGCTCACCTGAGCTTATTAGCAATAAAGTGATGATATGTTTATCTCATAACATTATACAATTATAGCTACATTTTAATGTCAATGCAATGATTCAGAATCTAAAGGAGTAAAAGTTAAGCCTTAAGGGTTAGGTAAACATTGTTTTTTGATAGTGGAAATCATCGAACTGACAGAAAAAATCAGCAGTATTATATATTATTAACTCCTCCCCTTGAAAAGCGAGAGGGTATATAGTGATCGGGATGTCCGTCCGTCCGTCTGTTACGCTTTGAGGTATCCATCTCTTATCTGCAAATCCTCATATATAAAAAAGATGTGTTTGTGAAACAGATATGTCCCTGTATGGCAACATTGCGAAGATTAAACACAAGACGAAAGACCACCTTTATGCAATTGCTTAATGGTGGCTTAATGGTGACTTAATGGTGCTTAAAGAAGTTAACTCCATTAAGCCACCATTAAGCCACCATTAAGCTGCAACTTACAGGTGCTTAATGTCCAAACTTCATTAAGCTACCATTAAGCCACCTTTAAGCCGAGCTTAATGGTGACTTAATGGTCAAACCTCATTAAACTTTTACGTTTTACGCATTTTATATCGAATCTTTGATCTAACTTTTAAAGTTATTTCAATGTCATTTACGCAAAATCTATTTTTTTTTTTTTTTGAGATTTATTATTTTGTCTCCATCGTAATTTTTAAATAACATTTCTGTTAACATGCAAAATCTCGGGCACTGAGAATAAAGTTAGCTAACAGGGGCTTGCTCCCGGTTTCTAATATTTTATTTTAATCATTTACAGTATCATTAAAAAAGAAATTTTATCTTATTACCGCATATGATTTTTTCTTAAATAAATAATTATTACATACGTTGTTTTTATTATTTGTGTATATGATTTTTGTTTTTTTAAAATAATGATTATATTATTACACGCCGGGGGCCAACCCCTTGTGAAATATCTTAATTTCTCGCTACCGAAAATCAATCTGTTGTTAAAATTATCTTTATTTATAAACACCAAATATAATTATATTAATTTTTAAAAAAAAAATAAAAAAAAAAAAGAGATGGTATTTTTATTTCATGTGTTAAAAACAACATATTCTGCTACATAATTCCCAGGAATATAAAGTCATGTCCTCATTAGAAAAAAAATCTGTCTTTTTTTTTTTTTTGGAGGGGGGGGGGGGGGGGGACTGGGGCCACAGGTATAAAAAAAAATGTTTAGTTTTCAAAGTTTGACTAAAAAATGTTTAGTTTTCAAAGTTTGACTTTTACATCATGAATAATTTGAATTAATTCGTTATTGTTTTTTATAATGCAGCGGTAAGTATCTGTCAAAATCTAGTCGGTCTTCAATCATTGTTATTTCAAAATCGATTTTCAGAAGAACAACCTATCAGATTAAACATGATATCCGACCAGATTTATACACATTGTGAAACGGGGTAAGATTAACAGTGTACAGTACCGACTGGTTAAACAATAGACCTTAATTAGGTGTCCACCGTCCCCGGTCAACTAACAGGAAACTATACATACACAACGTACCCTAACAGATTTTGATGATCAATTATTTTGACAAAATTTAAATTTAATGCAAGCATATAACAAATTAAAAATTATGATTCATTGCAAAATGACAATTATTTTGATACCCATTATGATACAAAAAGAATTTTAACTGAATATGATATTCGAAAAAAAGTTTTTGTAAACAATAACCAGGTAACTCGTAAACGAGGATTGTCACTATAGGCCTAAATCTTAGACACAAAATCCGTTAATATCCGCAGAATATTTTATTATTTAAATAAATCATCTGTCTTTCCCGGTGATAGATTTTTTTTGTGTTTTATCTATAATTAATTTAATTTCAATCTTGATTTAATGCTTACACGTATTAATCTTCAAATAAAAGAGTGAATTAATTACAATTTAAAAGCCGAACTCAACGGTGTAGAAATATTAATGTGATATAAGCCTTTTAA